TCGGGTGAATTCCAAGATGGTATATGCCATGAGAATGGCAGAATATCCACAATAAGTCCCCAGTTCGACCATGATCACCGTTTGTTCTGGTTTTGTCTGTCTGATGAGGCGATTCTGGTGTTCCTGGCAAAACTCCCTGATGAAATCCTTGAGGATGATACCCTTTTGATCCCCAATGTGCATCATCCAATGCCTCGAGAAACAGTACTGGTCTACCAGTTTCATTACTTGCTCGGCTGTTTCCAGTTGGTCAGAAGCAGCCAACAATTCCATTTCTCGTTCCACATGATGGAGGAGTGCTTGTTCGGTACCATTGTGGAAGACAAGGACACCACAGGAAGGGTCGCGTCTCGCCTGCTGCTGTCCAGATTCTGGCACTGATGCTGTACTGGATACTACATTGCAATCATCACCGTCCTTCTCGTCATCATCATCATCATCTTCTCCAAACGCGCCAAAAGGATCATCTTCTGCAGCCATGGTAATGGTTTACGCTACTGTATCTCTGGTCGGCAGCGACTTTTGGACTGTGTGGGGCTGATGAAGGGGTGGATGCATGTGCTGTGCCAAGGATCCAAAGATTTCCAATTTAGCCCTAACGTTAAAGCTTTAACTTAACCCTAAGAAGATGCCTTTTTGGACTGGTTATACCCCCGTGGGAGTGACTCAGCATCCGTCCACGTTGGTCGCAAACACACAAGCGACCATGACGAAGCCAAACTCAAAGCCGACCCAATGCAACCAAAACGTTCTCATTCCAAAGTAGTCCATTAGTCGCATTAGAGAAATACACCATGACCCGTCGAACATCCCCACTTTTACTAACTATCCTCGTCGGCTCATGCCAGGGGTTCCAAATGGCTCAAGTCTTCAAGAGCTTCCAGGTGGGTTCATTATTACAAGTGTTGTCTTGCTTCCCAGAAAATTGCAAAGGAATACTAGTACTAATTCTGTGTGTTTTCTGTTCTCCTATAAAGCCCGTCAAGGTGCCAACCCAATCAGGAGGCAAGGTAGGTGGAAAACACTGAATATGCTTTGTTATTTCATCCAACGCCAATGATGCTTGGACGCTCAACAATCCCTTTGGATTGTCATTTTCTTTCTTCAATACAGAAAGCTGAGCTCTTGGACTCTATCTCGTTTACCAACAATGGCAAAAGCGCAGCACCCGAAACACAGCTAAATGTGCTAGATATCGTCCGATCCATGGAAGTCAAAAGTCCTCCCAGCCCAAATCTGTTGTCCGATCCCAAGGAGGCTCAAATTCTCGATGGAGTCTGGTACCTTCATTACACATCTCCCAGTGATCCAAGTTTGATTGATGCCGGTGAAACGGACGACAACTTTCCAAATGCCTGGAAACCACAAAAGGCAGAAGAAAAAATTGAAACCAAACAGTTCAATGCCAAGGGATCGGTCAGTGCGGCAGGAATCAATGTGGACACTTCCAATCGAGTGGTCAAACAAATCATTAATGTCCAAGAGAGTGTTGTCTTCAACGAAATTGATCTAGACTTTGGAAAGGTACAAGTGGGAGGACCCTTTCGAAAATCCGACAATATTCCCAATCGCGCAGTTGTATCCTTTCAAACATGCAACATTACTCTGAACAGTGGATTCACCTTGAATCTGGGATTCCTCTTTGATATTCTGTCACTGGTACGAGGAAGCAAGGATAGTGGCTGGCTGGAAACAACCTACATTGACTCCAATATGCGCATTGGACGTGGAAACAAAGGTGCGTGTGTGTAGTGGTGGTGGTGGTGGTAGCTGCTTCAACTTCTTGTCTTGCTTGCTTCCTGGCTTCATGTGCTTGCCTGCTAACCATATGACTGACCTTTATGTCCATTGACTGCTTTGCGTCCGCAACGGAATGACATTAAACTCATCAGGGACCATGTTTGTTTTGACCAGAAACAGTGAGGATGTAAAGCCATAATTAGACTGCCTTGCAGCACGGTTGGGTATTTCAGTCCCCAGCAAAACCAACTATGTACATATCATACACTGCGTGGAGACAACCAGATTAAGTGAAACTGCCAATACACATGTAAAGATAGGTCCATCTTATGCTAAAAATTCAAAGGGAAGAAGGGTGGCTCATTTCTCTATGCATACTATATAGAAAACAGTCGGCCACCGGGCACGGCATTACCAATCTTACCTGAAGGACCTGGACACAACCTTACCGATAGCTGCCTCACCAACAAAACTAAAGTGTAACATTTCATCCTGAGCGTAAACTGAGAGCAAATGCCATGGCACTTGTTTCGGAACGTGGCTGGCCTCCTGGCTGAAACGATGCAGCGGAGAGATAGGTGTTTGTTTTCTAGAAGTAATTTTATGCTGCCCATTTCTGGGAGGAGAACGATGCAGTGGAGATAAGTGTTTGTTTTCTAGAAGTGATTTTATGCTGCCCATTTCTGGGAGGAGTTGGGAGGGTGGTAGTATGTATCGAAGACATTTGCATGAGCATTGGATTGGTTTCTGTTCCCTGAGAAGGTGGGCGGAGAAAAGTTTTCAACTGCTACAAATTCGTCAGGAGGCTCGGAAAAAAGCTTCCCAGTGGCAAAATTTTGGAAGCCGTCGTCCTCCTCCCCGAAGGGATCAAATGCATCTCCGCCCTGAGGCCTCTTGGTTCCCATCGTGTCGTCAAAGTGACCATTAGCAGGTGAGAACGGGTCGTCCGCTTGAGGGCTACCCCAGGCAGCATCCAATACCGCCTGCTCCGTTCCCCACATTGGGTCCGCCATGGCCACTGGTTCGTGTGCTGGAGAGGCGGGGGGCGCCCCACGCTCTGGTGATCTCCAAGCCGCTTCGTCGGAGAAGTGCTGCCCCAGTTCACGGTTGGGTGATTGTGCGTACTGCTTCTGAACCAAGTGCTGGTGGTGACCAGCAGCCGCTAGCGCCTGGAGGTTCCAGATGTCTGCTTCTGCGTGCTGGGTTGCTTGATAATTCTCCTTGGAGCGAGAGCTTCGGGATCGATCCACCCAAGCATCATTATCGGCCGAGACACCATTATCGGCCGCGACACCTTGCATGTGTCCACTAGCGCCGGTTGGTGTTGCTTGGTCCAAGTCCAAATGAGCAAACTTTTGAAGCATTTTCTCTGCTGTCATAATAACGCTTTGCGCTGTAACTGCTTCCGGTGAAGCCATTGGGACTGAGTCAAGGCCGGGATCTCGACTACCCCACTCCGATGTATCGTTCAAAGGATCCATTTCGGGGGGCCAATAATTCAAGAGTTCTTCGCTGTCCTTCTTCTCGTCGGTTGCTTCTGCAGCCCACGCCTGGTCACCAAACGCATCGGCTTGGAAATCGCTAGCACCGAATGTGGCTGGTACCGAGTTTCTAGTGAGCGGTGCACAAGGAAAGCCGTTTTCGTCTTGCACACAAGGAAATCCGTCGTTATCTTGGGCACATGGAAAGCCACTTTCATCTTGCACGCAAGGAAAACCATTCTCGTCTTGTCGCATTGTTCCAAAACTGGTTTGACTGACCATGCTATGATTTTCAGTTCTGGTTGGAGTACCGAAGCGAGCCATACCAAAATCATTCTCAGGCCTTGTTGGTGTTCCAAAGTTTTGCTGACTGGCCATACTACGATCATGTTCGACGCTTGTGGAAGTCCCAAAGCTTTGTTGATTGACCTTATCGTTGCCTTTTTCGACGACGGCGGGAGCCCCAAAGTTAGGCTGCATCATCATATCATGGTGTCTGTCAACCATGGAAGCATCTGGACTGCGTGCACCTCCTTGTTGAAATCCATCGTTTTGGAATCCATCGTTTTGGAATCCATCGTTTTGGTGATCAATGGGAGCGACTCCGTGATTGCTGATAAAATGAGGATCGCCCTGCATCTCTTCGTATTTTGTGGGAGTCTTGCGTTTTTCAGTCCAACCCAAAAGTGCTTTCGCCCTGTCCGCCATGTTTGGTTTGCTCTTTGAGTCAACGACGTTTGTGGTTGTGGGTGGGTTCGCTACCTGAATTGAATGGCTTTGGACTTCAACTTCCATCTGATGATCAGCTTGTACTGTGATGGTATCCTCAATTGCGGGAGGTTTGTTGTTGGTCAACTCTGGATGCAGCATGGCTTCTTCCTGTTTAGCTAAAGGTGCATGTTCGTAGTGTGCATGTTCGTAGGGTGCATGTTCGTAGGGTGCATGTTCGTAGTGTGCTTGTTCATTGGATTCATGTTCGTAGTGTGCTTGTTCGTTGGAAATCACTGGTGCGCTTTCATTCACGGTAACAGTAACAGTGACTGCCCGAGCAGAAGAGTGCTCTGTAGGCTGCGGGACCTCAACGAGATCCTTCGAGTCTTCGCTCTCCTTGGCCACTCCAGTTTCCTCCTCAGTAAGCGCCTTCTGGAATTCAAGAGGGAGCTCATTTGGTAATGTGTTGATGCCATTGTTGCCAACAGACTCGTCCTCCTCTTCAGACTTGGAAGTAACCACTGCACGTTGCATGGCTTGCTCGTAGTCAGCAATCAGCACTGAATCTGCTGCCATTTGAATCAACGATTTCGTGTCTTCCTGTTGGACGACAACGTCGTTTCTGCTTGTGGTACTCGTGGAAGACACAATCATCAAATCCGCGGATCCTTCATCAGGAAGTTTGTGCGACATGGGGCTGCCAGACAAACGCTCGTTGACAGCCACATGCTTTCTATTCATTGGACTGTGGGCCAAATGTGGCACATCGTCAGGCTTTCGTGTCATGGGGCTTCCTGGCATCTTGGGACGGGCGTCAGTTGGCGTTGGTGGCCTTGTCGGGGTTGACGGCTTGGGCAGTTGCTCCTGCTGTGGTTGCTGATAAACTGGCGGTTGAGAGGGTAGCTTAGCTTTGGGAGAATTCTCATGGAACGCGGCAACGTCCTTGAGCCATGAGGGCGCTGCATGGTTGAGCGTAGTAGGTTTCTTCCATACACCCTTCTTTGGCGCTGGGTCAGAGCTCATGGTTGGTGAGGGCGACACATCCGATTGCTCCTCGCTGGCACTAGCATTTGATCCCTCATGTTTCCATGTCGGCGCCTCGCACTGCTCTAACTGCACTTCCGGGGCATTGGGCACGCGCTTCCACCAGCCCGCTGCATTTGATTTGGCCTGGAGATCCATTTCCTTCTTCTTGTCCGGCGAAAAGATGATCTGCTGAAGCTGTTTCACTTGCGGCGAGGGTGAAGTGGGCCCCTTTTGAGGTTTAGGTTTTAGTCCTCGACGCTGTTCCGCCGAATCGCCACTCACGCCCAATTTTGTAACAAAAATCTGCTCTTGTAGCTGTGCGACACTGGGGGACGGCGAGCGCTTGCTAATCACTATGTTTCCCGAGGGACCCAACTTTGGGGCTTCACCACCACCAATTGAATGTCTGATCTTCCTTGTAGCAGGAGGTTTCTCAACATTTGCTGGTACTTGTTGTGGCTTCCATGATTGGGAACGTGGTGATGGGTTTGGCCTCGGTTCCCCAACAGCTGGCGTGGTAGATCTCCAAGTTTTGTTCGCAGTGTTTCTGGCTGGAGAGGGCGGAGTCTCTGATGACTTGACAGCTTCACTACCCTGCTTATTCCTGTTTGCAGGAGTCTGAGGGGATCCTGAAACTACGTTGTCTTTAGCAGTCACAGGAGGAGATCCGGACATGGATGGTTGCATTGGCTTCATCCAAGATGGAGTAGAGCTGCGCCTCGGTGACGGTGTAGGTGCTGCGTCAGATTCCGTATCAGGTTTCATCCAGGCTGGAGTATGCTTCTTGGAAGACCAAACCTTCGTGGTGGGGACTGGTGGCGGAGGCTTCTCGGCCGGCTCCTCGTTACCTTTGACTTTTTTCATCCAAGCAGGGGTCTGCTTATTCACTGCCCAGGTCTTCGTGGTAGGAAACGAAGGCGATGTCACAGGCTTGGGCTGCTCACTGCCTTCAGATTCGCTGGTTTGTGGCTTGACCCACGAAGGATGTCCAGGTGATGCCGAGTGGCGTCTTGGAGATACAGCTTGGCGAAATCGCTCGCGATCGTCCATTTCAATTCCTGGCACTTGTTTGCTTGTGGCGTTGGAAGGCTTGGGAATCGACGGCAAGGTCGATGAAAAATGCTTTGCTTTTGATGCATGAGTCGCGATTGGTTTCGGTTCCTGCAAATCTTTGCTCTCGTTTGCAGAGGCCTTCTTCCAAGCGCTATCCGAGCCTCTTTTAGGAGACATGGGAAGAATTAGATTTTGCGTTTGCATTGGAATGGTGGGAGAAGGGGCCCGTTTCATCCAGGAAGGGGTCTGTTTCTTTGCAGACCACTTCCTTGCCTTGGGCACACCGCCAGCTGATGCCAGATCTGCCTCTGAGGAAGTCGCAGATTGCGTGGGCGAGTTCGGGCAAGATTCTTGATCAACTGGCCAGGTTGGAGTGGGTGATCCAGGTCGTATTTCCTCGTGGGAAGATGAAGCCGGCGCACTTCCATTGGGGGCAAACGTTGTCTTCTTGGCAGAAGTGGGCTTCCAACTCTTGACGGATGGTTGCCTCACCTTCATTGGTAACGAGACATGTTCGACTCCAACGTCGCTGCGAGATGAGTTGAACTTGGGTACTGCAAGAAATGGCGAGCTTGGTCTATCAAACCTTGATGCTGAGGAATATGCCGATCTTGCAGGTGAAACTGGCTGAGCTGAAGACGCGAGTGATGGAGTAGGTGATGCCCCGACCAGCAGTTCTGGAGCCTTGGCGTTGGGCGACTTCATCCACGGAGGCTGTTGACGTCCAAAGGATTGCCCCCGGTTCTGCTTGGTACCAAACGATGTCGTTGTTTCAGTCTTGTTGGCTGTTACGGACCTTCCCTTCCAGGAAGCAGCTCGCGCTGGCGATGGCCTCTGATCTCGGCCCGGAGACTTCCATTGCTTCGAGGCCGCTTTGGCAGACGTTGGAACGTCAGTCAAGCTGGCGCATTCCGAACTCTGGGTTTCCTGGCTGTTGATATTGCCGTTGCCTCCCGACATTCCAGGGTAAACCGTTTGCTTGTTAGCCTTTTCCTGGTTGGCCTTGGATCGAAAGTTATCCAAGCGGGCCAAACTCATGATGGATTCGTCGTAGTCTACAACGCCATTGCTTATGACGGACCTTCCCGTGGATACTTGACTGCGCCTATCGTCCATGTCTGGATCATCGTATGAATCCTTGGTGATGACATCCTGTTCTTCCATTTCCCAGGGAACAATTTCCTCATGATGACTAATCATGCTAGGGGCATCTTGGAATGGCGCCTTTCGGTGGCTGGGAGGTAGCTCATGATGGACTGGAGGAACAGGTAGTCTAGGAGGAGGCGTTTTACTCCGATGATTCACGCCGCGAGAAAAGGACGACGGTTCCACTGGAGTCGTTGCTCTACGAGATTGATCTCTTCCTCGAGCGGGATATTCTTGTCGGTCTACCGGTGGAAGGATCGGAGGAGCTCGCGGTTGGGGCGGAGCTGTCCTTTCTTGCACTTGGTTGGGTACAGGGGTTGGCTGGACTTCAACATGAGCTCTGCTTGTCGTCGGGGTATTCTTGTAGCTATCATTGTACTGCTGATACTCGGCAGTTTCCACACTTTCGACAGGACTCATATCATGGTCGTAGTAGGCAGCAAGATCCGTGGATTCTTCCAAGGAAGCTGGTTCTGACTCTGGCAGTTGCGCATTGCTTTCCTGGTGGTTTTCTGGCATGTTGCTGCTGGAAAGTTGATGCTGCTGTGGCCTCTGTGGTTGATGCTGCTGTGGTTGTGGCGGCTGGTTGGCAGGGGTAGCCTTGCTATTGTTAAAAGCTGGCTCTGCAAGACCCACACGAGAGGCTGACATTTTGCGATAAGGCGAATAACCACCCGCATCCGTCATGTTCGTCTTGGCAGGGCCATCAGCAGCTGAAGAGGGTGCTGGCGCTGGTCTACTAGGAGAATTGTTAGCTTGGACTGGTCCTGGTGGCGCTGGAGGAGGAACTGGTGATGCTGGCAAAGGAGAAGCCCCAGCAGTCGGTCTCGCGTTGCTTGGTTGACCTCTTCGAGTCTTTGCTAATTGCATGGCACGTCGTTTATTGTGGAGTAACGACGACCCCATGCTGCTGCTACCACCCGCATTTTTGTTTTGGGTAGCAGCATTTGCAGTATTATTATCAGCAGTGCTGTTGGGAGCTGCACCGGTGTTTCCTGTGGGCGCTCGCTTGTTATAAACGATACCATTGTCTCTGACTGGACTCTTGGAACCTACTGACTGTCCACCTTCCTGGGGAGTGGGGCTTTCCGCTCCTGATTGACGAATTTTGCGTTGTCTCTTGAGTTTGTTTGCCAAAGACATCTTCTTTGAATGGGCCGAAGCCAACTCAGGGTGACTACCCGTACCGGAAGAAACGCCTTGAGAGTTGTGCTCCGACATGGCACTATTGTTCTGTTCCAAGACCATTGTCCCCCTTTCTACAAGCACTCCAATACCATTACAGGGCGGGGCAAAAACTGTATTAGTGGCCTTGTTCTTGAGTGAAGCGTCAAAGCACTGCCGACAGAAACGTCGCTTTTCTTTTGCCCAGTACAATCTTTGTTTGCTTGCTGCGCACCAATGCAGCTCTAAGTGAGGCTGGCTTTTCGGCCTTTGCGCCAAGAATTGATTAATTACCGAAGCACATTTAAAGGAACGTTGGTCAAACTGATATTGTACCGGATCACAGACGCATGCAATTAGGAGGTAGAGTTGGGCGGCAACATACAACTGAATTCAATCACATTTTCGTCACCACAAATCAGCTGATACCCTTCATCCGTACACCGTAGTCTCGTTGCATGCATATCCTGAGTTTGGCGTCTGCCTTCATGCTATTGGAAGCTAATCTATCTATGACAAACTTTTAGTAAGAACGAAATCGAGCTCATTGTGTCTACAACCAGCCCAATTCTTGTTGGAAGAACAAAACCCTCATGACCTCCCAAAATTCCGTTTCATGCTGCTACATGCATCATTGCTTCAAAAATGAAGAAGATACGACAAAAAAATAGGCCGAGCAGTAGCACTGTGAGTCTGGAACCTTTTCTCTTTGGTCATCGTTTAGACAGCAGCTGCAATGTAGTACTTCACCTCGCTACCGTAGTACATGGGTTCTGGACCGTCCGACGGTTTTTGCTCAGGTTTAAAAACTGCTCAAATCGTGGTTCTGTAGTAAGGGAATGTTAAGGGAATGTTGAAGCTTTAAGGGAATGTTAAGGGAATGTTGAGGATTTAAGGGAATGTTTTAAGGGAATGTTTATTTAAGGGAATGTTCATTTTTTTAAGGGAATGTTCTATGGGGTTTACATGAAGGCTTAGAGGAATGTTTCGAAGCGTTAAGGGAATGTTGTTAAGGGAATGTTGATTTAAGGGAATGTTAAGGGAATGTTAAGGATTAAAGGGAATGTTTTAAGGGAATGTTTAAGGGAATGTTTCAACTGCAAAATTTTGAGTTTTTTTTAAAACCTGAGCGAAAACCGTCGGACGGTCCTGGCTAGCTAATAGTATGCAGCCAAACATCTCCACCACACCAGCGAACAATACAGGAATACCCGGTAGAGTACAACTTGGTGATACTGTAGATCAGATGACAATGGACAACTCAGTCACAGCAGGTCAGCTTCTTCAAAGATCATGCCGTATCATGCCCATGTGCAACCAATGTGCCGATACCACCGACCTGGCCTTCATCGCGGCTTCTAACGCTTTGTTGTTCAAGCACGATTGATGCCAGTGAGGGTTGCTGTGTGACGTATGAGCCGATTCCCGTTCGTCTTTTAAAAACCTCCACCTCCACAATTTTCAGGTTGAAGGCCAGCTGGGGCGATCTTCTTTGTCCTCTCTGCTCTGCCCTCTGCCATTTATTGAACAACCCACGTTCTCTTTGTTCCGTCCTCTGAGGCAGATGTTGCGCAGACACCATCGCTCCTCAGACCGATGGACGGTTGTTTGATGGCTCCAGGATTTCATTGAATCAGTTGTTTCTATTTGTTCGCAAAGGTACCGCCAGGTTATAGTGAGAATCCGAAGCCTACAATAGTCTTGAAAGAGCACACTTCTTCTTCTTCTTCTTCATTCATTATTTCCATTGCACAACACCATGGTCGAGTTGTCAAGGATCGTGTCCGTATTGCTTTCGTGGTCGCTTCTGGCCTCGACTTGTTCTGGATTCCAGCCCACGTCGTTGGGTGGGCAAAATGGCCTTCTCCACCAAAGAACGCAGGCAGCAATATCTCCCTCCAAGCTGTTTGTCCTGTCGGAACTGATGCCACCAACGTCAACAGCAGACGAAGACGATCAGGATTGTGCCATGCCTCATTACGGTCCAGCGTCGGTGTTTGGCAGACCCATCGAAGAGGATACGAGAGAATTCAATCGAGAACTCATCAAGCAGTGCAAGTCGGTCCTCTTTGACTCGCTCTTCCGTGGCCAGGAGATGACTCGATGCTACGCTCGCTTTTACGCCTTGGAGAACATTGCCCGCATGCCATACTTTTCCTACCTCAGTGTGCTGCATCTCTACGAATCGCTGGGGTGGTGGCGAAGGGCCGAATACCTCAAGGTACATTTCAGTGAGAGCTGGAACGAACAGCACCACTTGTTAATCATGGAAGAAATGGGGGGAAGCAATCGATGGATGGATCGCTTTATTGCACAGCACGTTGCCGTCTTTTACTACTGGATTGTCGTTGCTCTGTACCTCTACAATCCAACCTTGGCGTACAATCTCAACCAAGCCGTGGAAGAAGAAGCCTACTCGACCTATGCAAACTTTGTCGAAAGCAACCAGGGCTTTCTGCAATCCCAACCAGCCCCCACGGCTGCGAAGGACTACTACACGGGAGATGACTTGTATCTGTTTGATGCCATGCATTTTGACAAGCAAGGAGGTAGACGAGACAAGGAGCCGCCCCGAAGACCCAAAATGGAGACGCTCTATGACGCATTTGTGGCCGTCCGAGACGATGAAATGGAACACGTCAAGACCATGGCATATCTTCAAGAGGACGCTTGCCGCTAAAGACACAGCTCTTTTTTGGCATTCGATGACATGCAAGATTGTTAGACTGGATCCATTTTTGCTAGCTAGCTAAGGCTGTGCTATTGACAATCACAAAAAACAGCGTGGCAAGTTTCAAAAAGAAAGAAATGCACAGCACACAACAAGGGACCATGCTGTTTTTGAACTACATAACTTCTACACGGACGTACATAATACCGTACAGAGCGAGAGAGAGCAGTTGAAGACCTAAACCGTAACAGCTTCCGAATTCGGCCTCAGTTTTTATTTACTGTACCGGGGATTCTTTTCTAGCGCTATGTCATATTTGTTTCTAGTAGGATCTCTGAATCTCGCAGCCTCTTTGCTCCAGACGCCAAACTGAAGCCGCGGAAACACATCGGCCTGCCGCAGAGACATACCGGTACATCCATGTTGCCTGCGAACCAAAAGTATACGCAGTAGCTCTCGCTCAGTGTAGATCTAGCTAGCTTGGAGCTGACCTGGTCGGGCTTGATGTAGACGACACTTCCTGGGGAGCCCTCAAGTCAACACCCGTTCTCACCTGCAAATGGTCACTTTGACGACACTATGGGAACCTAGCTAGAGGCCTCAGGACGGAGATGCATTTGATCCTCTCGGGGAAGAGGACGGTGGCTTCACCAACTTCACCAGTGGCAAGCTTTTTCAGAGCCTCACGATGAATTTGTACTGTATGTCCTGGTGGTAGCAACTGAAAACTTGCCAATGAACTGCCGTGTTTTATTTTACGAGTTGTACCGGTACAGTACCCACCTTCTAAAGAAACTAAGCACGTCTCAAACGTCAGACACATCATTTTCTTCCACCAGCCACCACTCCGATCTCGGATCCTAGCTGGCAGCGCCCTCCAACAGAACAAGGGGTGTCTGCTATTGCTCCACTCGACTACCTATTTGTCCTTTACTATGCCTTGCTACTCGAATGCACCTGTTCTGTTGCTGCTGCTAGTCCTATCTTTATCAGGACAGGCCTTTGCTTGGCAGACCCAACCAAGATGCCAGCATATTCGAAGAAGCGAGAAAAGATTTCTGGACTCCTCGAGCAAACTGCAGCTCTGCTCGGCAGTGGATCAGAATCAGGGTGTTGGGACTCAATCTAGATGGAAAGATGTGGTCAAATTGGACTTGAATGACAATGCCGTTCCCCGTCTACAGCAGCAACTGCACCAACAACAATCAAATGATTCTCTTCTGGACAACAAATCAGACGAGCCAATAGCTCTCCAGGTAGAGGGGTATCTCACATCACAGCGAGGCTTTGGCAATTCCTTTTGTTTCTTTGATATTTCTCGAAGGGGTGTACAAGTTCCAGTGCAAGCCATGTTCAAACGGCAAGCCTTTTTGTGCAGCAATTTCGATGGATTCATGAAAAGTCTGGTGCCCGGTGTACGCCTTTGCATTACTGGTCCAGTGGCTCCCACCAGGAATCCGGGAGAGGCATTGATATTGGTGCAAGATATGAAGATACAGGGACTACCTCACAACCCACAGCATGTCAGGAAACTGCTTCGGTTGGTTAGCGAGGGCTTGTTGGATGCCAGTGATCTGGCCAAGGCGACTCAGGTAGACGCCACTGAGCTGGCCAACGAGATTGAACAAGCGACGAGGAGCCAAACTCCACCGTCGCCCAAGGCTTTTAATGGCTTGGCCAAACGCATTCTACTGGATTTAAAGGAGCAACATGACAACGACGAGGCATATCCATGTTTTGCTTCAGATCACAAGTACACGACAAATTTGCCGTTGGCTCCCCCCGATATCCGACAACCTCCTCCTGCGTTCATTTCAAACATCCAAGAAGAATCCTATTCCAAAGAAGATCACGACACGCTTAGAATAGTCTCGGAATCCATGTCCGTGCAGGATGTTCTACTAGAGCAAGACGGGCGCTTGCAAAACAGTTTTGATGCTGCATCAAAGAACTCTGTATCAACCACCACAATTGACATGGTCGGGTGGGTTCAAAATCGTCGGCGATTTCGGGATTCTGTCACTGTCTTGGAAGTGGTTGACAGCATGGTTCCAGTGGGTGCTGCTGCCGACAATATTCCTGATCAGAACCTTGCTGAGGATCAAATTGATGCCCTATGGAATCAAAGGCTGAAATGCGTTATAAATCCACAGGTTCTGTTCTGCCAAAACTCCACACGGGCAAACATGTATGGCCAGTTGCTCGCTCCAGGCTCCCAAGTGAGGATGGTGGGATCCATTGTGGCGACAGCAGCGCATGAGAAAACCGGTAACAGCGTACCATCGGTCATGTGGGTACAAAATGTGGAGTTGTTGCACTCCAGCTGGCGACCGAGCTCTGTTCAGTATCTGATAGAACAAGCAGTCGCACAAGAAATCAAGCTGATAGAAGCTGCTCAAGCTCTCAAGATACCAAACGAGAAAATGGGCAGCATAGTTGCTATGAATGAAGCGACGACGAGGGAGTGGGAAGCTGCCGAGATCTCGAGAAAACTACAACAGCAAGCGATGGACCTATCGAGGCAGGTGGGTCCAGAAGCTCTCAAAGTTATTGATTGCTACGCATACCTGCGAGAACAGTATCCAATTCACGACGTTGCGGATAACCCGAAAGCTGCTCTAGAGGCCACTGACTTTATGTCGAATCGAAGCAATCGGTGGAAGCGAAAAAAAGAACCCCAATTGGATTGCATGTCCCAACAGGTAGTTGACGTTTTGCAGCGTCGCCACAGCAGCAACGATACCATTCGAATCCTTGATTGCGGGGGAGGCAAGGGATTTCTGGCCAACCACCTGGCGAGGACTCTCGGGAATTTGGGATTTGATGTACGGATTCTAGTTGTCGATGTTGCCGAGAGCGCCATCAAGAATGGAAGAAGGCGGACGGAGAATCAAAATCTGACCGATATTGTGGAATACGTTTTGGCAGACGCCAGCACCGTCGACGTGAGCAGCTACATTGATGGCGTGGACCTCGTGGTGGCACTTCATGCATGTGGTGCTTTGACGGATGTTGCCTTAGGACATGCAATCAACCACGAAGCATCGTTCGTTATCTGCCCTTGCTGCTTTTGTTCCAATCCGAGCTTACGAGTACCACACCAAAATCGGCGAAATGCGACCCAAGAATCGAAGAAGCTGCTTCCGGTGGATGAATGGTTGAACATCGACTCTCGACGATTCGATCTATTGAAGGGTCTGGCTGAGCTCCAGAGTGATATTACGTTGTCGAACCAAGCGGTACATACGATTTGCGGGATGCGTCTGGCAGCAGCTGAGCGAAACACAGCGGTCCCAATGAAGCTATCGCTTCGAGCATTCCCTGTCGCTTTCTCTACTCGAAATTTCTGTCTTATTGGAGAGACAAGATCATAGAAGGTCCGGTGGAAAAGCAAAGAAAAGGAGACCGAAACAGTGTTCTGCTGGTGAGTACTCAATTATGTGAGGGTCGCTCCTGGAGGGCAACTACATTGAGTCTCAGGCGCTACCCGTATCAGAACTATCCCAAACGGTAGCACGGTACTAGCTAGTACCTTTGAATGGTTGAAGCTTCCAACCCTCTGCTATCGGAGGGCACGTCCGTGCCTATGCTCTCCTCCAAACTCCCGATCCCAAATGCTGTGGCTACCCGATACCGTACCGGTTACCGGTGGTACGCTGTACCAGTACATACGTACCGTACCTAACCAGCTGCGGCGAGTTTTGGATGTTGCTTTTGGGCTTGCGCGCTACTAGGTATCGCTCCCAAATCCTGAAGCCCAAAAAGAAAGATCTTCAACGCAGAAACGGTACTGTATCAATCAAGGGCACATCACGTGCGAGACGCAAAGCAGAAAGAAGCATAGTGTCCGAGATTAAAAGAGAGACGAAAGCAAGCTTGCACAAGAAGAGCCGAAGCGAAGAACCTGACTCTGGCGACCTTATTAATCCATAGTCTTCTGGGTTGGTAGCCTACCAACAAACAGCATCCTCTTAGTTAGAAGCGGTAGCAATCATCAACACTTGACTTCGTCTCTTCCACTTCCTACACTGTAGAACCAACCGAGAAGAAGAGGGTTCGCAAAAATGGAGGATCTTCCTGATAATTTTACTGACAGGCCTGATGCTTTTATGGGAGAATCAGGTTCAACGTACCTACAAAAGCCACGACGAAACTCTGGGACTATGGTTACGGAAAAACTCTCCGCGCTGAATAAACAGAACGAGACTTGCCAAGCCGGAAATGACGCTTCCAAAGTGCGAAGACATTCTGAGTACCCAAAGACAGCCAAAAAGTTGGATTCGGGGTCGATCATTAGCGACAAAACAGAGTCTACCCAGTCAACCGTCGATACCCAAAAGAGCCCAACATTGGCCAACCGACAGAAAGTCAGCCTGCAGCGAGAGGATGCCAAATTTATGGCCGAGCGACCGGGAGATTGGCTTAATGGAGGCGAGGGGGGAGAGGCCATTGTCGAGAGCTACATGCAAAGCCCAAAGACGAAATTGAGGTCCTCTTGGCTAAAAAGCAGCGGTGACACAAGCCAGAGTCTGCGTGATTTGACGGCTTTGCCTTTGGCTGATGATAAGCACGACAAGCTACACGCAAGCGAATCAAAGCTCAGCTCGGAACCAGTTCAACGTCGTAAAACGAGTTCAAAGGTGATGGAGAAGCTATCAGCTCTCAACCAGCAGAATGAAGAAAATCACCATAAGAACGAAGGACTTGCAGTTCACAAGGGCACAAAATCAGCAAAACCGCCACGGCCCAAAGCCAAGAAGGCAGATCAAAAGGGAGGAGAAAAAGGACAATCCACTCCAACATCTAGCAAAGAGAAGGTCAAGTTCCAGCAAAATGAACACCTGTACATGGCAGAAAGGCCAACAACCTGGAATGGAGGTGAAGGTGAAGAGGTGGCGCACTCCTATCTGCAGAAACCAAAGACCAAGCTCAAGGACTCTTGGCTCAAGGATGGATCTGGAACTGGCATGAGCCAAAGCATGAGAGATTTATCCACTGATGGAAAACAGAATGATGACATGAATGCCAGTGACTCACAGCTCTTTTCGGCAAGGAGAAGACAGACCAGCCCAATGGTAATGGAGAAGTTGCTTGACCTCAACAAGCAAAATGAGGAGAACCACAAAAAGAATGAAGAAATTGATCCTTGGGTTGCGAGCATTGGCAAGAGTCCACCAGCCAAAGTTTGGAAGCCCCCAAAGAAGGCTGACGAGGCCCATGAAGAAGCTAAGACAGATCAGGTCTCTCCAAAAGCCAGCAGCAAAGACAAGGTCAAGTTCCAGAAAGATGAAAACTTGTACATGGCAGAGAGACCAACTACCTGGAACGGAGGTGAAGGTGAAAAGGTGGCGCTCTCCTATCTGCAGAAACCAAAAACCAAGCTCAAGGATTCTTGGCTCAAGGGTGGATCTGGAAGTGGCATGAGCCAAAGCATGAGAGATTTGTCGACAGATGAAAAGCACAATGACGACATGAATGCCAGTGACACACAGCTCTTCTCGGCAAGGAGAAGACAGACCAGCCCAATGGTAATGGAGAAGTTGCTTGACCTCAACAAGCAAAATGAGGAGAACCACAAAAAGAATGAAGAAATAGATCCTTGGGTTGCGAGCATTGGCAAGAGTCCACCCGCCAAAGTTTGGAAGCCCCCAAAGAAGGCTGACGAGGCCCATGAAGAAGCCAAGACAGAGCAGGTCTCTCCAAAAGCCAGCAGCAAAGACAAGGTCAAGTTCCAGAAAGATGAAAACTTGTACATGGCAGAGAGACCAACTACCTGGAACGGAGGTGAAGGTGAAGAGGTGGCGCTCTCCTATCTGCAGAAACCAAAGACCAAGCTCAAGGATTCTTGGCTCAAGGGTGGATCTGGAAGTGGCATGAGCCAAAGCATGAGAGATTTGTCGACAGATGAAAAGCACAATGACGACATGAATGCCAGTGACACACAGCTCTTCTCGGCAAGGAGAAGACAGACCAGCCCAATGGTAATGGAGAAGTTGCTTGACCTCAACAAGCAAAATGAGGAGAACCACAAAAAGAATGAAGAAATTGATCCTTGGGTTGCGAGCATTGGCAAGAGTCCACCAGCCAAAGTTTGGAAGCCCCCAAAGAAGGCTGACGGGGCCCATGAAGAAGCCAAGACAGATCAGGTCTCTCCAAAAGCCAGCAGCAAAGACAAGGTCAAGTTCCAGAAAGATGAGAACTTGTACATGGCGGAGAGACCAACTACCTGGAACGGAGGTGAAGGTGAAGAGGTGGCGCTCTCCTATCTGCAGAAACCAAAGACCAAGCTCAAGGACTCCTGGCTCAAGGGTGGATCTGGAAGTGGCATGAGCCAAAGCATGAGAGACTTGTCTACAGATGAAAAGCACAATGACGACATGAATGCCAGTGACACACAGCTCTTCTCGGCAAGGAGAAGAAAGACTAGCCCAATGGTAATGGAGAAGCTGCTTGACCTCAACAAGCAAAATGAGGAGAACCACAAAAAGAATGAAGAACTGGACCCTGGAGCAGTCAGTGTGGAAGCAACCAAAGTGTGGAAGCCTGTCAAACAATCAAATACAGCAGACGACGAGGAACAAGGGGCACAAGATGAATCAGGAGGTCAGTCGTATACGCCCAACAACCAGGAGAAGATTAAGCTTCAGAGGGAGGATGTTGCCCACTTGGTTGCCAGGCCTGTTGCGTGGATGGGTGGTGAAGGAGAAGAAGCACAACCATATTCTCTCACACATGCAAGCCCCAAGGCCAAGCTCAAAGATTCGTGGCAAAAAAGTGACGCCAGCGGTGGCAAAATGGAAGGCCTGAAGATTGACTCTTTGGTAGATTCTTGAAGCTGGCTTGCTAGCTAACTAGAAGGGTGACAAAGAATCAGGCTGGATACACACTACATCAGGGCAGTAAATAATACACTAATGCACGTTGAAACTCACACAGAAACTAGCTACACTCCTCCCTTGACATTAAGAGAGTCGAAGATAAGATGTCGAGTACTGAGATTTGCTAAAATGTTAAGATAATTGAGACACTCAGATCGGCACTAGAGCTAAGATAGCCAGTAAGCACTCTCCCTTGGGCACATAGGAGATTGAGAGATGATACAATGACACTTTTCTACAACAAAATGCTTTAGAAACAGGTACCAAAAGTAAAAAATTTCGCCTCCGGCGGATGATACACTGCTCTTTCCTCTCTTCTCCTAGGGGTAGACTATGTTCGGTAAGGTGGATATCAGAGTAGCAAGGTTGGTATGTACCATACTACTAGTATGGTCAATAGAAATGCCAAGAAAGCTAAGATGTTGCCTTTGGACCCTGAATTTTAACAAAATGCTAAGAAGATTCTCAGTGCAGATATTTGAGTTTTTGCTAAGATGCCTTCAGGATTCAGGTGAATTTAGAGACATCTTAATATCAAGGGAGGAGTGTAGAGCATTATGATGTAACGCAGGTCGAGGTGGGCTCCGTGAGTTGAGTTGACTCCAATCAAGACCACACTACGAACTGCCTCTGCAATGCAAACCCTAACGAAGATCCCAGTCTTCCTCGTCCTCTTCTTCTTCTTCGAAATTCAAAGCATCCAATTCGGCATCCAGATCTGCGGCATTGAGATTTTCTCCCTCCTCGTCCTCCACTTCGAGTCCTTCGTAGCCCGTCTTTTTCTGTGCCAACTGCGACAAGGTTGGCAATTCCTTGTCTGCCTTTTTAAGATCCATTTTGGGTTTATCTGCCTCTTCGGGCGGCGCTCCTCGTTTGGCGACACCACTGACCCGTAGGATGCTCACCAACTCTCGCATGGCGGGATGCATATTGGCCAGACATGCTCGATTGCTTCCCTCGGGCGACCGGACTTCGTCCAATGTTTCGATGTCTCGCATCTTGACGGCCCGGAACAATTCTTCGGACAATTTGCATTCGCGAGAATTGAGGTAATGCGATTTTTGGCAGTGAATCGACAAGAAATTTTGTTCGGCCGCAATGGGATCTCCCATGGCCAACGTGAGCACGGTTTCCATGCAATAGCTGCGCGACAGTGTCAATGTGGAAATTCCATCTCGCGACAATAACGTGGAGGATGCTCCCGCGGCATACAATGCCGATGCATATTCTCCGTATCCGACCAATAGATCAATGACATCCCAGATGGGTTCGTGTGAATAGGCTCTCGAGACAATGTGATTTTTGGCCAATTCGAGAGTTTCGGCGGAAGGTTTGGTGGCAATCTCGTCACTATCGGGGTCAATAAAGGCGGATACTCCAGTCTGTCGATAGCGGCAGTAGGGATTGAGTGGATCTGGTACAAAGGATTCCACGGCTTCTTCCAATCCTGACAGCGTATCCTTGGACAATACTTCACTGTTATCCTGATGCAAAAAGGCGAGAGCACTTTGGACCATGCTGGCGGCTGCCTTGGCGGGTTCGTTCATTTGTCTCCAAGCTTCCGCGGCATTTTTGTGGTATTGCGATCCATCGCGGCGCTTTTGTTCGAGTGTGTCTTCTACGGCTTCCGATAACATTAATAATTCTGCCGCTCGAGCATATTCTGCGGCAGCAGTGGCAAAGGCACCCACTTTCATTTGACAGTCGGCACTGGATACCCGATAAAGTCGTTCCAATCGTTCTTCGCCCGCTACCTGATAGGCGTCGGCCGCTCGTTTGTAGAATGTACTGGCCATGACGGGGTCTTGTTTCTTGAAGAACCCCGATTGCATGCACTTGTTGGCTTTCTCTTTGTACTCTTGCGCTTCTTTCATCTTGGCAGCCCTGGCTTCTGGAGATAACATGGACGCCTTTTTCTTGTTCTTGTCGCGCTTTTCTTTCAGACCGCCATATGCATAACCTTTGGACGAAGGTGCCGTGGATTGCGTAGATTTCTTTGGGGGGGCGCTGTTACTACTGGCACCACCTCCACCGCCCGCATTGCCAAAGAGGGCATCTCGGTTGCTTGCCGCATTCTTCTTGTGCTTGGGGCCTCCTCCTCCTCCTCCTGCACCACCAAACAGCGCGTCTCTGTTCGCAGCGGCGTTCTTCTTGTGGCTCATTGTTGACTTGCTGGCTATACTATTCTGTCTATCCTGTATTTGGACTTTCGTTGTCTTCTACGATGTATGCTACCGTATGACTTCTGCCCTCTAAAACGATTGATTGACTGGAAGCACGAAAGGTCACCGTGATGTCCTTTCGTGTCACGAAAAAAGAATCCGTTGAACATCTACGCAAGGGCTAGGGTTTCGCATGGCAAATCACCTCCGATCCTTTGAAGGGAGTGATGATGAAGATGCAGCTTGTTGTACGGTACAACTGTACATGTAGCTAGCTAGCTCTAGCTAGTAGTAGCTATCTCAAGCATCATCATCATGACTTTCATTCTCTATATCCCAAGAAGCAGAAATTGCCTTGGGATTGTTGTCCAGACTATGTATCCCATCTCAGCACTTTGTTGTTCAGATACCGGTACGGTACAAACAGGAGGATGACAAGAGCTTGAAGAAAGTAGATAGATTTACTTTTTGGTCATTTTGATCTTTCCTCCAACCATTTTCAAAGCGGGAAGACCATGAATCTGCGCTGTCCTGGCAAATTGGGATTGGCAGGAGGGACACTGCCAAGCATAATCCTGAGGAAACATCATGTCATCCTGCAGTTCGGCTCTGGCATTTTCGAGGACACCCGCCGAGTCTTCTGCAATTCGTTCTATATAACACTTGACGAGATTGGATTTGGTGCCATTCTTCTTTTTGTAGCGAAACAACCGTGCTTGACATTTGGCACAGTTCACACTGACAGTACGGTACGAATCCACAACGGACCCTCGTTTAGGTTTGGCTTGGAGAGCAGTGGTAGAGTAGTACCGGTACAACTGCTCACTTTGTTTCTTCCTGTGGAGCTGGCATGCAGCAGATACATGCACATGTGCCGATAGTGGTTTTAGACGAGACAATCTGCAACCGCCAAAGATTGTTGTCGCACCCTTCTCATTCCTGCTGATGCCACCAACATCCGCAACTGTTACAATTGGTCTTCTAACAATAGGACTGAACGAAGCAATCAGGGAGATTCTAATAAGCATCAGGAATAGGGGAATGAGCCAAGCCGTCATGTTGGAAGTGATGGCTGATGCCATTTTGCCTTCGAGCATCGACGTCGTGATGCCCAAAGAAAAATGAGGGTTGCCTTCTTCAGGGTTAGGGCTCTTACGCCATCAGCGTCATTGGCTGTTCTCTTTCATTTTCAAAAAACTTTTGCCGGACCTTCGCTTCGTATGCTACCGTCGTATGCTACCGGTATGCATAGATCTCCTGTACAGTACAGTTTTGTCTTCATTATTTGAACACCACCTTACCTTATTAGATCTATCGTACCGGCGCAACTAATAATCATAGCAGTACAGCACTATTTGCTACGGTACCTGGTAGTTATTCATTTCAACAATGGGCTTTGAAGAGTTGGAGTTTGTGGATGAGCCGGTGGACAAGAATCTGACCTGCATCATTTGCTTGTCGGTGATGAAGGCACCCACCACAATTTGTCCCAACGGACATACCTGTTGCGCAGATTGCATTGCCATTGCCCAAGCTCAAGATCATCATGAGTGTCCGGAATGCCGAGAGCGTCTGCTGGAGAACAAGGTATTGAATCGACCCTTGCAGTCTATCATCATGGGACTACGCGTCAAATGCCCCAACATGCGAGATGTGTATGTGGACAAGAGCAAAAACAACAATCCAAAGCGGACAAGTCGCAGTGGAGATGCCTGTTCATGGGTAGGAACCTTGTCGGATTTCTTGGTCAGCCATAATAAAGAAGGAGGCTGTGAGTTTGTCAATATCAAATGCATATGTTGTGGTATGAGAGTTTTCAAAGTCGACTGGGAAGAGCACCAGAAAACCGAATGCCGTCGGCCCTGTACCATGTGTGGAGCTATTATCCAATCCTCTCAGATAGACCATCATACCAAGAACCAATGCCCCTACCGAGTGATTCAATGCAGTCTCTGCAATCTCAAGGTTATGGCATGTGGATGGAATCTACACGTCGAAAAAGTATGTCCCAACAAACTAGTTACGTGTATATGGTGCCAATCCACCATGCCGCGCAAGGAAGTGGGCACAGCCGTCCGTGATGAGCAGCAAGAAAACCAATACTTCTGTACGGGCCATCTGGCCCAGTGTGCTCACATGGAAGTTTTCTGTGAATACCATGCCCTGGGGTGCACAGCGCATCAGATGAAACGAATGGATCTGCCAAAGCATCACAGGGACAGTGTGGACTACCACGTCCGACTGTTGGGACCTGCACTGCGCAACCTGCAAGATGGTTGTCAGTGGATTCAGAAAACAGTGCAATGGGATATTGGACCGCAAAAATTGCCCCATGTTCTAAGTGGCGTCGGAGTCGAAAGTGAAACCATTCCTGTTGGCGCCATTTGCAGCGTCAACTTCAAGCTGCTACAGGGCTTGGATGGATCCATAGAAGCCAAATTTTGCACGCACGCGTCTAAGTGGAAGACAACAAGTGCCCCAATTGTGGTTGATAAGGTGGTTTTCGAGTCCTTGTGGGGAGACCATGTGTGTCGTCTGGAGGGTGAGAGAACCATGGAAGTTGACCCAGACAATCGCAATCTGTGGTGCATCGCAGGCACTCTTCAGCTGGAAGTTCGTAACAACGAGGGTGCGACAACGTACCGTGCCTGTCGCTATGAAGACTTGATCCAAACCACGGATCAAGATCGAGTCTACAGTCTGGAGGTGCAGTTCCGTCTTCGGGCTGCACCCACCAAGAGTGTCATTTCGTGTGTCTGATACCGTCCTTCTCCCTGAGCTGCTCTGTGATGTAGACCATTGAAGACAAATCCTTGTCTAGCTAGCTAGTGCATTAATCTACTGGTCTATTATTATCACTTTTAATAATTGCTTCTAGCTAGCGGTGAAGGTCAGAAGCATGTTTCTGGAACGCTTGTTGCGATTGCAAGTTCTGTTTCTCCATGCTATGGCCAGACACGAGCTCTTGTGTTTTAATTTCCGTTCCTCTGTGCACTCCCTTTTTCGGCTTTGTTATTGTGAAGAAGGATTCCTGCTTCACATCTGACTTCATCTCCGAGAGCTGTTTGCAAAGCTTGAGCCCGCGGATTCGATTCGATTCCAGCCTCTCCAGTGCGTGCAAGATACCGGTATGCATTCGTGTCACCCTCATGTGCTTGCGCGCGCATGATGTCATCCATTCGCCTTGCTATTGCAACTTGTCGAGTTTGTCCCGGTCAGCTTGTCGAGTAAGTTTGGCCGCATCATCCTTGCTGGAGGGTTTTTGTTCTTCTCCCAAGTCCATCAAGGCGTTGGTGGCGGCAGCTGCTGTAATTAATCCAGCCCCAACCAATCCCAAACTGCTGAGACTTTCTCCTAACAAGACGTTGGAAAAGGCAGCTCCGTACACTGGATCCATGGCATAAATGACGGATGCCCGCTCAGCCGAAACTTCTTTTTGCGACAATGTTTGTATGTAATTCGCCAGAGCCGTGGTGACGGCACTCAGATAGAAGAGTTCCCAGGGATGAGATTTGATGATGTGCATCAACTGTGGAACGAGTTGTACTGTGTTGTCGTCTCCAGTTACAGCGAAGGACCAAATGGCGGACAAGAGCGTGACCATCCAGAGACACGCAGCATTGAGAGCTACGGAATTGTTGTCACCAACAGCATTGGCAGCTGTATCGAGTCTCAAAATGTACATGGCCGAAGCAGCCGCCGCAGCCATGCTCCAGAGGTCTCCTTGGTTGAGACTCCAAGAGGTGCCGTCGTATGCCAAGAGAGCCGTTCCACAAAAAGCCGTGAGGGCGGATATCCACGTGGGCAGACTGATTTGTCTGCCAAACAAGAGGAATGCGAAAAAGGGTACAAACTTGACATTGAGATAGAGCAGGAATCCCGAACGTTGAGCCGTGGTAGTGGCCAACCCAATGGCTTGAAAGGCAAATCCGAGGAACATCCAGAATCCCATCTCGGCTCCCCATCGAAGAACAGTGACGGTCCCATTCGTATGAGCCGAATCTTGTAGCTGTAGATTGTTGTCAAAATTGATTGCATTCTTGCCTTGCTGATGATCAGGATGTTCTTCTTGCGATGTATTGATCCAGAGCATCGGGACCGTTGCGATAATAGCACCAATAGCAAATCTGAGCAAAGTAAAGGGACCTGCTTGGGCATCGTCCACGACCATTTTGACGACTGCATGTTGGGATCCCCAAATAATGGCGACCATATTCAATGCCAAAATGGCATTGGGTGTCATCCCCAGAAACCCCGACAACATGCTTGGGTCGGTGTTATCAATTGTCAAGGATGCCAGTGTTGCATCAGTAGTAATGGATGCCATGTCTTCATCGTTTCTGTTTCTCTTGGTTATCGCATCCACGTCATTGCAGAGGGCAAGAGAAGAAGAGGTATCGGAAAATTCTGTTTCCGTGACATTATTCTCGGGATGGCCTTGATGCAGCTGTTGTTCCTGGTGATCCAAGGTTACTTTTGCAACGATTGAGGTTATTTGTCTTCTTCTTTTTGCTTGGAAAGTTGATTGTCTCGTTGGCTTCGGGAATTCATCGACTCTGGCCACATTCGATGGGGAGTATGGGAAATAGCAGTGATGTCCAGCACCAGTTGCCACAGAAAACCCTGCTATCACGGGAGCTTGCACTGAGACTAATACCAACAGCAGAAGGTTCGAAAAAGACCTCATCTATTCAATATCAACGTCCACACATGGAAAAACGAAGACAGCCTTCATTATAATGAGCCCATTGGGAATGCTAGCTAGAATGGTCATCGATGCATTGAGTGTTGACAAAGTCGTTTGTTGTGGTGACAAAGAAAACAAAAGAATGGGAATGACGTCAGTGAGAGAGAAATAAGCCAGGTGGAATTGTTAGAAGATCCTGCTGCATCCAGAACTCCATTAGTTCCTATCCGTACCGGTACGGGTACGGTGGCGACATCGTTTCAAATTTTGAGACCCAGGATGGCTTCTACCGGTACTAGTACAGTATCCAAATGCATAAATGAAATTGTTTACAGGCTAATCAATAGTATACCGGTACCGGTAGGCACCCCTGTTTGCTAGCTAGCTACCGCTTCTCGTTGTCGAGAATTGACAGGGCTTCATCAGCATAGAACAAGAGTTTCTCCTCGAATTGCTCCACCTCAGACCCTTCGCCAAAGTCCAGTTCCTCATATATACTGGGATTTTTTGGATAGAAGCACATGCACAATCTCCACAGGCTGGGCCACATCTCAGTATGGTATTCAGCCTCAGAGTTGCCATTTTTAAACATCAATCCCTTTTCCCACACCCGCTTGAGAGCTTTTCTGCTACCAATCTTTGCCATGTTCCTATGAAAGAACAGTGGGTCCCCCGCCGGGTCCGGTTGTATCATTGTTTGACCACATACAGCATCGCTTCTCATCAAAGGCGGAGCTGCATAACCAGCATAACCTGGTGGTTTCTCAATGTAGTGGAATGGAGTTTTGGTCGCGTGAAAGGCAAACTTGAAGAGATCCTTATCCCCCAAAAGAATATCCAATGGTTGAATGATTTCTTTGAACGTCAAGGTCAAGAATAGCAGAGCATGGAGCGCTTTCTTGGTCCTTCTTCGATCAATAACAAACTGCCCAGCCTCTAGCTCCATTTCATTACGAATTGGTGAGTCAGGTGGTATATCAAACAGCTCCCACGCCAATGAGTGCTTGGTGATGTAGAAATCGTTTTGTTGGGGCTTCCAATAGTCCTTCCAGAACATGGAGCCAGTTTGTTCGAACTCCGCAGTTTCAAACAGAAAGGAGGGATCTCGGAAAGGAAAATTATCACTGTCCAACCATAAAACCTGATCAAATTGGCTGTAGACAATGCTGTATAGCTTTGACATGTATGATTTGATTGAAGTATCATGGATCGTTCGCAAATTGATGTCAGGCAAGTCCAACAACTGTCGAACAACTGGGTCACTCTTGGTGACTTCTCCAGCTAATGACCACAACTCAATGGGTAGGTCACAGCCATGTACATCTCTCAAGATTCGGACAATGGAATAAGCACTTGGCAGCACCTTTCCAAAAACCTGCATGACGATACCCCTGGAAGGCACTGCATATCCAGAAAATGCCATTGGTTCAGTGGGTTTGAAGTTCATCATTCTGTTTTTGTACTTCAGAAAGGAAGCTGCCATATCACAAGAAAAGGAAGCTGTGAACTTGGCAGTCCGTAATGGGTAACCCTCGTAGCAACCTTTTTGGAAGACTTTGACCATTTCTCCTGTCTCTGTTTGCATCTCACAATAGCCAGAGCCCCCAGCTAGAGCAGGCAACTTCTTAGCACATGGCCAATCCCGATGAAAGAAACCCTGCAGAGATGGCGTCCTTTTGTTGCCAACGTGTGGTCCATCAGGGGTACAACCGACAGTAGCACGCCATGATATGCACTGTAAATTGTCAATATGGGCGTCACTGTTTCGGTTGAACTCAGTTTCCAATTCATCCACAAAAGGAAAGATGGCATTGCTGTTGATGTTATACCTACTGTCGAGAGATGCTCCTGGAGTTGGCAATGGCTTTCTCATGGCTGATTGGATTAGACACCAGCACATGAATGCGATGGTCGCCCATGCTATCCTTCGATATCTTCCAGAATAGTAGTTGCCAGCAGCAACTTGTCTCCGTTCTTGATGGACGTCATCCTTCCTGTCAGCGTCATCGTCCTTGGTCCTTGGTTCTTTTTTCATAGCAATTTTGTCTCGGGCCGGCGATCGAGATCTGGCACCATTCGTAGGCCGAATAATAGAGGTGCGTTCTGAACATGCGCTACTGGCCATGACAACGATGGTTGGTAACAAGTAATCCAATCGCTATGATATCTCTCTTGTGGTCGTTTGGCAGATACAACATGCAGTTGGCATTGTTGACAGAGATCACCGCAGTAGTACTGACAGGTTTGCTGGAAAACCTGCATGTGTACAAAGAAACTCCATCTTTTGCTGGGAACACAGCTTCGCTACAATGTATTGTTCGCCTCCCATCTCCATTCAATGCTTCCAGCTCTCACACCAGAACTTGCGTGGTGTTATGTATGACAGGTCTTCTAAAGGACCCTGTGAGAAAGGTTCATTTCCTGGTGTGTCTGAGAAATCTCATTCTTGATGACATTGTACATGTACGACTGTACCTGAAACAGGTAACGTTAACCCTACCGTTCGGATTCCACGTTCCAAAGCCGTTAGAATGTCAATGCCACCGCCAGCCTAACATTTTGCGCCCTTTGCCATCCGAATGATGAATCGAATCCGTCCAATGTCAATTGTGACAACGGCGCGAACATAATGATCACAATACTGTACATGTAATACTGTACAACAATGCACGATGGACAGCAGCAGAATGCAGATTCCGCTCCGCAACACTACCGACAACAGCAGCAACAAGAAGCGCATTAGTTTCGCTAAAGATATAGACTTTACGTCTGAGAACAATAAGGCACAGCGTCGCTTGAGAAAGGTAGAAAAACAGAAGGTGAGTCGAGACAAGTTGTTGCTAGTAGCTGCTCCGCAGCTGACAGCACCTCATTCCTTTCTTCTGTTTCTTTCCATTCGATTAATTGTTCACAGAAAATGAAGGCCGGTAAGAAGATCCCAGTGATCTTCAGTGTGTTATTGTTTTATTGTAACTGTTTTGCGGGCCGCAGCAGCAGCAACAACAACGAGAACTCCCTCACAAACCATGGTGTCACTAACACAACTATTTTTGTTTTCTTATTGTCGCCCGCGCAGACCTCGCTACTCTCTTCGACCAATTGACCGACCCCTTGAAGGCTCAGAGTGTGTTCCATTGGTATTCGTCGAATACCGTTTTGCTTTGAATTTGAACTTCATGTTGGGCCAGCACGGCATCGCTCAAGGTCCTGCAGTCGATCCAGGTCCTCCACCGACTTTGACACGAGCTGGCCAGTTTGAGCTACTCAGCCGTCTTGATCAATTGTTGGCCCTTGACAATACTGCTATTCAGACATTGTCTGATCCATTGTCTGCTTGATGGGTATTTTGGTGGGGTCTGGCGGTTGGAACGTTGCAGCTCCTGGACTTACCAATCCTTTGGTGACACCCGATAACACACCTGAACGGGCAGGAGCAGCCGACGGTGGTGGTGGTGGAGCCTCGGCTGGTGGTGAGAGTTGAGGGGCTACTATGGTCTGTGCACTTACAACGGGCACTGGTTTCACTTGCTGGTCGTCTACGGACTACTACTTGATTGGGGGGATTAGATTAGTGAGGTTGCCGGTGATATTTGACATTTTTTCTAAAGTTTATCAGCCCGAAAGCGTCTTTTAGTGTGGTACATGTACGCTTTGAGCAGTCTACTCTCACTTTTATCAGGAGGGGGAAATTCTGGAAAAGTCATGATATAACTGAGAGTCTGATAGCATGATTTCTACTCTGCTTTGGTCCCAAACAGTGCCTGTACAGGGCTGCTATGAGCTCCTTCCTTGTGCCTACTAGTTACTACACACCTCACTATTTCTTACTGAAAAACTCAGTGAGAGTGGTGTTTCTCTTGGGACACCTAAGTTTGGCAGCATGCATTGCCTCGGCAATAGATGAACGCTTGCACCTTCAGAAATGTCCAGTTTGGAGCAACTGACTGAGACTCTCCTCTGCTTGTACAAAGGTCAAGATTTATCAGCCTCATCTCTCTCTTCTTCCAGGTACCAGGTATCAGGTACAGCATGACAAGGTCCGCATGTCCGGGTCCTTTCTATTTAAAAAAAAAAGTACCTGTGACAGGTAACGTTAACCCTAAGACTTCCATGGCTGTCTTCGCTTGTTGTAAATGGAAAAATGTCATACTGGGGAATCGAACTCCCAGACCACGACAGCTGCCAAGTGTGTAATTTAATCTTCTAACACCCTCCCAGAATTCTCACTTGGGAGCTCTAAACTGTACCCTTACGCATGGAGCTACACTCTCCTGGTGGACCCTCCCATGCTAAGCTGTACCTTCCCTGCCAGGACCAAACAGGGGCTCAACCTGGTCTCTACCCAGTACACACACTCCCTAGCAGTCTGCTCATAGCGTCCATTCTCCTCACCCTTGATGACACCATGTTGTAAATGGAAAAATGTCATACTGGGAATCGAACTCCCAGACCACGACAGCTGCAAGTGTGTAATTTAATCTTCTAACACCCTCCCAGAATTCCACTTGGG